ATTACATTGCATAGCAGCTGGTTCTTGTGTCATTTTTTTATTGATCATTTTCACTGAAAAAATCTCTCTATCTCTCTTCCTCTTTGTTCTACAAAACCATCAGGAACAAAGTGAGCACACTTTGATAAACGGTCTCCCACCAAATGTTGAAGTACCACTGGACGCAAAATCTCAATTTTACAATGTTGATAGGTATCACACTATTGGATCAATTGCTTGATTGCAGTACGTACCAAATAAACATAGATTGAATACGGCTTTAATTCTTTTGAACCCTAAAATGTCCCATGCTTGTGATGAATGATTATCTGTCAATATTGCCGGAATTAGAGTTGAAATAGGACTCAAAAAATTCTGCCCTTCTTAAGCAATATTTCTCTGAAGATAAAAGGCGGGAGTTTTATCTTGATGTAACTTAACCTACTCATAGAAAGGGATTAGATAAAACCTCATCCTTGAGATTGGTCTACCAATCTGGATTTGGCAGCGAGATAGCATGGAACTCGAATTTGGTAATTCAAGGTAGAGCATCCGTTCTTTTGTTGTCAACCCCCTTTTTATACTTTATCTCATAATCGTACCTCACAATCATTGGTAACCAATGCAGCATATGGCTACGGTGATATGCTACTCTAGGAGGCACTTCAAAATTTGCTAATCCATTCACACTACAAAAGTCTGCCAAAAAGATACGGTCTCCACTTACTAATAGCTTTAATAATGGCCAACATTTCCTTGGTCATAAGTTGATAATGTCAACATCGTACCCTTCAATGCCTCGCTGAAAAATGCACTGGGTCGACTTTGTTGAGAAAAAATTGCTCCTATTCCAATTTCGTATGCATCATACTCCACTATAATCTTGGAAGTTGCAGATTTAGGATAGTTGTCAGTTCTTTTTTAAGTTGTAAGAATGCTTGTTATGCCATAGAGTTCTATGAAATCCGACTTGGGAAGTTCACTAGGTACATGGGGTAGTTTAATGCTTCCAAAGCCAATGATGAATTTACGATAGTACTCGATAAAGCCAAAGAATGCTTGCACACCTTTCCTTCAAGTTAGTACTGGCCAATCCCGAATGGCTTAAATTTTTGTTGGGTCCATCGAAACACCCTCAAAAGTGATAATAGGCTAGGGGATTCTACTAGAAAGGTGCCAAATCGACATTTGGATTGTTTTGTTGTCAACTAATGAACTGATAAAATCGTGAAGACTACACTAATATGTTGTAAAAGGCTTATCCATTTCATGCTATAAACCAGAATATCATAAAAAACAAGAAAAACCTCAAGAAGGAAAGGTCTAAATATGTCATTCATCAAACTCTAAGAGATTAATGGAGCATTGATTAGATATGTTGTACTACCAAAAATCGTGCATGCTGATTTTCGAACTTGATGACTGAAATTGAGCACGAACAAGATCTTCTGGTACCTGAAACAAAGGCGTCAAAGTATGTTCTCGTCATTCCTCTGATGCCTAAGTCTGAAAGATAATTTATGCAAGAGGCTATAAAATGGAAAAATAATGGAAAATGTACCTAAATAATGAGCTTTGGCCTTGTATTTATAGACGTTGGTGGTGGAGTTGTAGAAGGATTCAACCACCAGTAATCTTACCCCCATCATGTAAGATATTTATGTTATATTGAAAGTGTTCCATTTAAGTTCGAACCGGACCGTGATAAGTAAATAATGAGGATAAGGGTCATGAAGAATTATATTCGAATTAGGATTAAAGTCTCCTAGAAGGTAGGGAAAAAATTATGTTAAAGAACACGTGGCTCAACCTTGATATGGAGGCTCGACCTCAGTGGTGGGAAAAATGCCGGAGGCAACATCTTGTCATGCTTTAGCTGGGAGGTGAGATACAAGGAGGTTCAATAGCTTGAAGTCGAACTTCATCCTTGGTAGGAGGTTAAAAATGGTTGTTTGACACGTGTTAGACACGCGTTGAGCTGATAGGACTTGATCTTAGATGGTTGCCACATGTCGTGATCTAAAGGCAAAGATTCTAAGACCGTTGACCTCCCAAAGACCCCTACCTTTTACTCTCACTTTTCAGAAGTTTGAGTTCACGGATAGTGTTTTTGTGAGCGACCATCAAAAGAGGTAAGAGTTCGAGCTTTTAAGTTGTTAAATACTATTTGAAAAGTATCATTTCGAGTGGTAGCAATAGTAAGGGGTTGAGTAGTAGTGGTAGTAGCCATTCCTCTAGGAGCTCGAACACCAGTAGTAATCTAGAGGGCTTAGGTATGTCCCTTATTTCCATGGCCATACCTGTTAGCTCGCACCTTGAGGATAAGGCCATCCTAACCTACCTAAAAAAACTAAGTATAAAGAACATGTATTTATTAAGACGGCCAGGGAGTTGGAGGTCATGCCTTTATGTGATATAAGGGCTCCCAAGCCTACTGAGACCATACTAGATGCTCGTGACGGGAGATGACATTTTTCAGGATGCCCTTAAGGCCAAGATTAGGTGGCCACTACACCCATTCTTTATCCATTTTCTTACCTCTTACTTCTTGTGCCTAGGCTAATTGGTCCCTAACAGATGGAGGCTTTTGATTTACTTCTTAATCCTATGCAGATGCCTCAAGGTTGAGCTTAGACTCGACTTCTTGAAGAAGGCCTTTGATATGAAGTTCTCGTCGGGAGACAACTGCTTCCTGTATTTATCTACCAAAGGGATTTAGGACATCAGAAACCCTGAGCTCACTTAGGGGTTGGAAAGAACGCTTCTTCTTTGTAAAACCTCAAGACTCGGACCTTCTATTTAGCTGAACTGGGAAATCTTTGTCAAGGATAGATTCAATGAGGCTCAGGTTTACTTCGAGGTTCTAGAGAGGGATAGGTTAAGGTTAGTGAATCACGACCCTTTTGTAGCAAAAATTGATTATCTACTCGAGGACGACACCTTTGACCTTGCAAATGTGAGAGGTCTTAAGGGTACGATCTTTACTTCCTTGTGTTTTATTGTATTAATCTTGAACTGGGGATCAAGCTAATGCTTTGTGATTTTATTTTTGTAGAATTGGAAATATCTTTCGACCCCTAAAACTTCTCGTGAATGTTTACTACAAGGCCAAAGGCTCAAAGCCGAAGGTACTTGCCTAGTATAAAGGGAATAAAAAGGTGAGGAAGGCCGCACCAAGGTCTATCCTAAGTAGGACAGGACAGACCTCGAGGACAAAAAACATGTTTTCTCTATCTCAGCCAACTCTTAAGCAACAAACTCGGCTTCGACTTCTTGGGCTACGCTCCAGATCATAGATTTGGATGACGACGTCATTCCTCAAAGCTTAATGGAGGAGTATGCTGAATGCTCTCTAGTCTCAAGCATTGTGAACAAGTATGAGAAAAAGGTCGATCTCCATGAAGAGGTTAGAACTTTGAGATTCTGACGTTGAAAGTATGATCTCAATCTCGACATTACCCATTTTTTCATCTTTTGTGATCGATCTCATGTTTGAGTTACTGTACATTTTGCTAACTTTGAGCATTGCTCGGTACCTGACTCTAAATGGCCTCAACATCTCGAGCAAGCTGGAGGAAGAATGAATTGAACAAAAAGAAGCTCTCGAACTTGAGATGGAGCAGGATATAGCTAAGGACATAGTTTAGGAAAGACCAGGACGAGATCAGGGTGGCTATGGACGAGGTTGAGGAGGCAAAGCTCGGGCTTTTGGAGGCTAAAAAAGGCTTCAAGAACGAACTGGCCAAGGCTCAAGCTCAAGCCATCGAGGACTTCAAAAAATTTGATGAGTTCAGGACATTGCTAGGATAGTACATGTCCGACTTTTACCACTATGACCTGAAGCTTGTTCATTCGTTTCTATGGACCAAGCTTCCGAAGGACTTGAATAAGACAATCAAGGAGCTGAAAATGATCAACGAGCTAGAAAATGAGCTTGAGCTGTTTGCCTCGGAGGTCGATGATGAGAAAGACGATGGGATGAACCTGGGACTTCTGATTAGGATTGATGCTACCAACCTAGATTAAGCCTCTTTTTCTGAACTTTGATTGTTAGTTTTGCTAAAAAATGTACAAGTACATTGCCCGATTTGGGCCAATTTTTTATTGAAATGAATGTTTATAGTTCGATATTTCGTACAATCAATTTTTCTTTGTTTTGTTCATGCTTTATTTTGTACTTATGTATCAAACCCAAGGTTCAAATATAAATGTAGATCGAGCATGTTACTTATCTTTATTTCTTGACATATAGTTCGAGTTCTGTGATACTGCAAACTTTCAAAGGTAAGGCTCGAGCATTGGTCATTATGTAGTGTGAGTTGTAAATTTTGTAAATCTCAACAAGAAGAGCTCGAGCATTCTAATTTGACGTTATTTTAATGGTATAGTTCGAGTGCATGAAGAGCTCGAGTATTATAATAACTGATCTTTTAATGAATAGCTCGAGTGTGTTACTTTGTCTTTATTTTTGATAAGTAGCTTGAGCTATTGTAATCTGTAAATTCTAAACTTGAATGTTTTAGCCCAAACGCGCTACTTTATGTCCTTTACAAGTTGCTCGAGCTTTTGCGATAGCTTTTGGTGTGATACAGAGCTGCCCGAACTAGAGCTCGATATTCTTCACTATTATGGTAGATCAAGGTCGAGGGTAGGACCTACTAGCTTAGATGTATCTAAGCTCGACCTTATTATGGATTTTTAGCTGCATGCTCGAGGCACGGTTTCATGTTTACTTGAAGTTTTAGCTACATGTGCAAGGCAAGACCTAATGCTAATTTGAAGTATTAACTGCATGAGTGGAACACGACCTTATGCTAATTTGAAGTATTAGTTGCATGTACAGGGCATGACCTTATGCTAATTTGAAGTATTGGTTGCATGGGCAAGGCATGACCTTATGTTAAATAGAAGTAATAGTTGCATGCATGGGACACGATCTTATGCTAATTTGAAGTATTAGGGAAAAACAATGACGTAAAAGCAAAACTCCTAAATAATAATAAAGTAACTGCTTAATCGCCTTAGGCACGAGCTGTTGAAAACAAAAACTCTGAGGGCATGCAAACCCGAAAAGTGAAAGCAAACTGCCTATAGGCATGCCAACCCTCCTAAAAAAATCTAAGAAATAAATACCTATAACTATGGCAAGCTATTTTAATAAATTTTTAGATTATCGATGTTCCAAGGCCTTGGAAATGGCTTTCTCAAAGTGTTTTTGAGGTTGTAAGATTCGTATTTTAATCTTCGTATGACCTCGAAGAGCCCTTTCCATACTAGCCCAAGTTTTTTAAAGAGAATGATCGGCAACTTCCGCCTTTTTAAGGACCAAAGTCCTAACTTTGAACTTCTTTGACTTAACCTTGTTGTTGAAATACCTTGCTGTTTTATTATGATAACTTGCAGCTCTAAGTGAAGCTTATTCTCTTACTTCTTCAAGTAGGTCAAAATGTTCGATCATTCGCTCTTCCGAGGTTGGCTTGAGTCTCGTGAATGTAAGAAGGTTGACTTCAATTGGAATTGTAGCCTTCAAGACAAAGGTTAACATGAAAAGAATCTCACCAGTTTCTGTTTTATAGGAAGTCCTATATGCCTAAACTATGGAGGGCAATTCCTCTGGCCAACTACCTTTAGCATCCTTAATCCATGTTCGAATATTTTGCAATATGATTTGATTAGTTAATATGGTGAGGCCATTGCTCTGAGGGTGTGAAATCGAGGTTAGGCGATGATCAATCTTGAGCTTAGTACAAAAACTTCTAAATTGTGAATTGTCAAACTGCCTTCCATTATTTGTTATGAGCACCTTCGGTATCCCAAACCTATACACAATTGATTTACACATGAAAGATCTGAGCTTGGGATATGAGATTGTTGGCAGGGGTTTGGCTTCTACCCACTTTACGAAATATTCCATTGCTACCACAACAAATTTCAACTGTCCTTTGGTCAAAGAAAAAGGTCCAAGAATATCAACTTCCTATTGCTCGAAAGGTGCTAAGTAATGAACGGAGGTTAGCTCTTCGACGGGCCCATGTATGATATTACCAAATTTTCGGCATTTGTCACACTTCCTAATGTAGTCTAGTGTATCTTTCTTCATGCTTGGCTAGTAATACCCATACCTCACCAATTTGTAGGCAAGAGCTTGAGCTCCCTGATGATTTCCACACATATCTTCCCTGAACTTTAGTCAAGGCTTGGAGAGATTCAGAAGGCCTAAGACATCTCAGGTAGAGGAGTGTGAAACTTTTACGAAACAAAACTTCTTTAATGATACAGTACCTTGGTGGTCGAGATCTAATGCTTGTCGCAGCTCGAGGTCAGTAGTAGGTTCCCAATATTTATGTATTCAATTATCGGGTTAATACAAGAGGGCTTATGGTCAATATCCATGATACTTAGCTTCTGACTTATGCTAGGTTCCGTCACCATGTTGATATGTACTGTTTTGTTAAGCCCATTTACTTCTATGAAGATGAGCCTAGATAATGCATCGTCTTTGCAATTGTTAGCTTTGGCAATTTTCAAAATTTCACAACTCTTGGACTCTAAAGATCATGCACCCTTCAACAATATAAGCTAATTTTCTCGTCTTTTCTTTCAAAAGCACCTCTCAATCTGTCCAACCACTAGTTATGAGTCGCTAAAGACTTTGACATGTTCCAGCTCAAGACTATTTATAAGTTCTAAAGTGATGACAACAGCTTCATACTTTGCTTCATTATTTGTGGCTTCGAATTCGAATTTGAATGCACATTGTATTTTTGTATTTTTGTCTGATTAGTGATGATGACCCCAGCTCTTGAACCCGAACTGTTAGATTCTCCATCCATGAAGATTTTCCAAATTCTCAAGGTCATGCTCGGGTCATTATCATCTAGCCCCTGAGGTCTTGGGATGAGTTTTGCTATGAAGTCGGCCAAGGGCTGACTTTAATAGTGAGGCACGGCTTTAACTTTATATTAAATTCACCAAGTTTAATCGCCCACTTCAACAATCTGCCCGAGACATCGATCAGTGAGTTCAACAATTGAATGAGATTGGAAGTATTGTTGTAACTTTCTGGTAGCTACCACCAAAGCAAGAGCAAGCTGTTTGGCTAAAGTGTACCAAGTTTCTACATCAAAAAGTACATTACTCACATAATAGATGGGTTTCTAGACTTTTCCTCTTTCTTTCACTAATAGCCCACTCATCACGTTCTAAGAAATGACCAAATATAATAAAAAAGTATCGCTTGGCTTTGACTTCCTAAGAATTGGAGGTGTTGCCAATATTTGTTTAAGCTATCGAAAGGTTGATTCACATTTCTCATTCCAATAAAAATTTTGGTTGCCTCTAAGAAAACTTGAAAAATGAGAAGCATCTGTCTACTGCTCAAGACACAAATCTCTTCAAAGCTGCTTAATTTCTAAATATCCCTTTTGTTCTTAGAAGGTTCTATAGATTTCCAAGCTTAGATCTTGTCAGGATTGGCCTCTATTTCTCTGTGCGTGATCGTGAGGCCTAAGAACTTGCCAAATGCCATTCCAAATGCACATTTTGTAGGGTTAAGCTTCATATTGTATTTCCGTAGTGTAGCAAACACCTTTTGGAGGTCAAAGACATGTTAATTTACTTGTTTTCTTTTAACCACCATGTGTCCACATATGCTTCGATGCTTTTCCCAATCAAATTAGCACAGACCTTGTTGATAAACCTCTAATATGTTGCCCTTACATTTTTCAGTCTGAAAGGCATAACTTTATAACAGTATATAGTCGAGTCAGCCATGAGAGGTTTTCTCTTGATCTTCTTCGACCATGAATATTTGGTGATAATCGGAGAAAGGATCCAAGAAACTGTACAATCTGTGGCCTGATGTGATGTCTACATGATTATCAATCCGAGATAGGAGATAGCTATCTTTCGGACATGTTTTGTTCATATCAATAAAATTAATGCAGACCCGTCACTTTTCGCTGGCTTTTTTGAGAAGAACCACATTGGCGAGCTAGTCTAGTTAATGTACTTCCTGGATAAATTTTGCATTAATTAGCTTAGCAATTTCTTTCCGTATAACCTCTCAATGTTCCGATGTAAATTGTCTCTTCATTTGTTTGACAGGTCATGCAACTTTCAGAGCTCAAGCTCGATCGTGAGCATCACGAGAGACTTTCCCATTGGAAAAAGTTGGCGAAGGTCGAGCCTGGAAGGAAAATATCACCTTTGGTTTTTCGAACACTAGTCACATAACATTGTTTGGCTTCCTCGAATCACACTTAACTTCATTGCTTGTAGGAAATTTCATTGCCAGGTGAAAAGTTGACACAGTAGCCCTGATTCTATTAATGGCAGCCCAAGTATGGTGTTGTAGGTTATTGGAGTACGGACAACTTCAAAGTTTGTGATCTGTCTTACCTATTTACCTTCTTATCCTAAGGTTAGGGGCAACCCAACAATGCCTTTCGAGGTAATGACCCTGCCTCTGAACTCCTGAATGGGGATCCATCTGAATGAAAGCCTTATAAGACTACATTAGCCGCGTTTCTATTATCCGCTAGATTTCTCTTAACCTCGAAGTTGGTAATGATGGTTGATATAAGCAAGGCATCATCATGAGGAAAAGATATACCTTCTAAATCCTTTAATCTGAAGGTAATGTCTTCCGTACATCCAAGATATGTCCGTGAGATGGTCGAAAAATGCCTTGCATATTGTTTCCTTAACATTAATAGTATCTGCAGTAGGCTGCTTGTTTGCTTGACCCTCTAGGGCCTTGTCATTGTTCTGATTTTTCCTTGAGTACTTGTCATGGTTGTTATAAGAGTCTAAAAATCCTCTCTTGATGAGAGCTTCAATTTCAAGCTTCAAAGCAAAGCATTCCTTAATCGTATGCCGTGATCTCGATAAAAATCACGGTACTTGCTCTTATCATGGGTGTCTGGTGGAGATCGCAACCTAGACGGACATTTGAGTTCCTTGAGGTCCTTGATCTCCACCAAAATATTAGATCCCAAGGTGTTCAAGTGAGTAAAAGATGTTGAAAGGTGGTTTTGCCTTGGCTTGACCCGAGAAAGATCCTGTTGTGCATTAAACTTATGCAGCCTTTTGTGATCAGGGCTACTCGATGACGGGGTATCTCTCCTTGCGACCATGGTTTTCTCTATGTTAATGTATTTCTCAACTCGAGTAAGTAAGTCGTTGCTATCTTTGGAGGGGTTTTGGATAAGGACATTTTAAATACTTCACACCTTATGGCGTATGCTAGAGATGATACTGCAGCTGTGATATGTAGATTGAGAATCTGAAGCCTTTCTTTATTGAACCTGGTTGTGAAATTACAAAGTGTTTCATTGGTCCCTTAATGCATTCACATGAGTGATGCGACTGTCTTCCTAATTTGCTTGTTGCTTGCAAAGAAAATGGAGAATTTATTGGTCAAGTCTGAGAATGAAGGTATAGAACTAGGTTCCAATGTGGAAAACCAATCTTTAGTCGTGTTTGTAAGGGTCTGAGGAAAGACCTTGTACATTACAGCATCAAGTGCAACATTTAAATTCATGATATCTGCTATACGTTAAATTAGTTGATGGGGTCAGTTGTCCCATCGTACTCCTTTATCCAGGGATACTTAAATTTATTCGTCGAGGAGTAAAAGGTGTGTTAGGAAGTGAACCCTGTTGCTACTTAGTTATTCTATTGCATACCCGCCACTATCCCTTCCTGAATAATCCTGGCGAGTTCAGTAGAGTCCATTTAAGTGATCACGAGCCCGAGGCCTCATAAGGTACGCCCGAAGTTGCTGCATCACCATTGTCGGGACGTGGGGTCTGAGCTCGAGCACCAGCCATAACACCATCCTGCGACGGTGGCGCTGGGTATGAATTTCTGTGACTCAGCAACTGAGTTAGCATGACAACCTATTGGCAGAGTTCCTCAAATGCTTCAGGAGTAATGACTACTGGTGGAGGTGTTGGATCTCCTAATGATTCCTTCTATGGAACTGAAGGATCTCCGGCAGGGGTCTGACTAAGGACGGATGAGTTTGTCATGAGATGTCTTGAATTTTTTTTAACCATGACTTTTGATAACGGTTTCCACAGATGATGCTAATGATGCTACCGAAAATCGTAGTTATCGATTTTCATACTTGTTGGCTAAAATCGAGTGCAAACAAGATCTTTTGGTACTTGAAACAAAGGCGTCGAGATGTGTCTTCGTTGTCCCTTGGATGCTTAAGTCAAAGAGATAATTTATGTGTGAGGCTATAAATTGGAAAAACAATGAAAAAAAACCTGAATAATAAGCTTTGGTCATGTATTTATAGAGTTGGTGGTGGAGTTGTAGAAGGATTCAACCACCAGTAATCTTTATCCTTATCATGTAAGGTTTTTTTGTTATATTGAATGTATTTCGTTTGAGTTTGAATCGGACTATGATAAGTAAATAATGAGGATAAGGTTCATGGGGAATTATATTTGAAGTAGGATTCACATCTTCTAGAACGTGGAGGAGAAATGCTGGAGGCAAGATCAGGGCTATCTAAAGTCGAGCTCGGGTAGAGTGACTTTTGTGACCATCACTATGAATTTGTAGTGGTCTTCATGAGTGTAAAAGGCAATTTTATGAATGTCTTCATCCCTGTCTTGGATTTGATGGTAGCCAAAGCGAAGATCCATTTTGAGAAAACTTTATCACCATATAGTTCATCTAAAAGCTCGTCAATGACTAGACTTGTCTTTAATTGTAACACTATTAAGCGCCTTGTAATCAACACAAAACCTTTCAAGTTCTGTCCACTTTATTGACCAATAACAATGGAGATGAGAAGGGACTAGTGCTGGGGCCAAATAATTCCTGAATCAATAAATTATTGCACCATTCTTTCTTAAGCATCTAACATTACGAGTACAATGGATACGAGAAGGGACTAGTGCTCGAGCAACATCATTGTGCGAGATTTTTTTTTCTTTTTTTGTTTTCATGTGTATTTTGACCTAGTTTCCTATTTCTAGGGTTTTGACATGTTCCCTATAAATAGTAGCTCTTCATTCAGCTCAGGTATAACTGAGATTATTGTAACAATATTATTTTCTCCATTAGTTATTGAATAAAATACTCAGTTCCTCTACCAATCTATTTCTTGCATTTAGTCTTGTTTTCCGTGTGCGATCATATACTTCATATTTT